CACAAATTATCGTGTTGGTCATCTAATTATATTCACTAATTTAAGTTTGATTTTCTTAAACATCAACCAATCACAAATATCAAAATTTAGTCGTCGTTAAATAATGAGCTCAAACTTACAACCGTTCGACAAGAAAACACTTTTGCTCCACCCATTTTTTCAAGGCAACGATTCCTGATACGGATTAATGTTCTCTACTTTGCTCCTTCTCAAGAATCTCAACTCACAAGATATTTGATCAGTCATATTGATCTGAACCTTTAATAAATTAAAAAAAACTATTAAACTCATGAGAAAATATATACAACTATGTCCCGAGATTTAGATGATATATTCGACGATGAAATGAAATTTAATTCTTTACATGATTATGCTATAAAATTAAACTCGACACGTGATCCATTTAATACAGTTCAAATGTATTATTATTTTTGCAATAAGGACAAATTGCAATCCTAATAGCGAGTCAATCAATACTCGATATCTCATTGTAAGGTATTAATCCTCGTATGTTGATTGTGAACAATTTTATTTATGATCCAGATAAAAGTTTTGTAACATTGTACTTCTACACACATATATAAATACCCAAATTTTATTATCACAAGCAATAGTGACACTTCAATAAATTACATTGCAAAATATACCTTTCAAATTACAATCACAATCACAATCACAATCTGAACAAGAAAGAGAAGTAAAAATCACACCAATATTTTGAGAAACATTTTAAAACTTGAGAAAATAAATAAAAATAAAATATAAAAATCAAAACCCTCATACAACAATTAAAGAATCACAGTAAACTGAACAAATTTATAAATCAACATCACAGTAAACCCTGTCAAACTTTCCCTTTGATGAAGAAAATGGAACTGTCAGAGGCCCACACTCAATCTTCAAATGGCGATGAATTTTGAAAACTCCCACTTTCAGCCTAATTTTGCTTCTTATTTTAACGTCCAATTCCACATTACCTGAATATTTCTCCAATTTCAGATCCCTTGCCACCGCCCCGTAAAGAGACACATCTCTCGCCGCAAGGTCCAAGTCGAGGTACGTCACATTATGCCGTCGCTGATAAAAGGGATGAACATCGTTGATTGAAAGCTTCTGATCCTCGTACGACACTGTAACCTCAATCCTGTCGTAGTATATCGAAATCCTTTTGTTGGGATTGTTAGCACGCAATACGAAATCGAAATTGGCATTGAAGTGGCCATTGTTGGTTAAATTGAAGTCCGAGATTGAGCCTTGTTCAATGGAGTATCGGAGTTTTTTGGGTTTAACGGATAACCAAGTAATCAGCACGGCTAGGCCGACAATAATGACGAGGGCTAGCAACGCCATTGCAATGAATCTTAATAGCGGTGAGTGGCGGGGTCGGGTTGCTCGCGGTGATGCTGGTGGAGGAGCCATGGCGGAGCAACCGTGTCTTTGTGCAGGACTTCTTGTGGATAATCAAGTTGTTTTATACAGATGAACTAGAAGGAAAAGACAGAATATTTAAGCTACGAAGTTACATACAAGAAATTGTGACTATACATCTTTATGCACTTTTTGTTTCTTGCATGAAACTCAAGAATATATGGAGGATTAAGAAATATTTTTTGTAGAAAAAAGAGAAATTTATAACTGTACATGAATATGCTTAGCTTGCAGAGTTCAAAGAAACCTTCTTCTTTACATGGAAATTTGGAATATATCTCAGTTCATTCGTTGTTGGTTTTTGCTTGATACTCAAGATATTCTAAACCCTATTGAAAGATTATTCTTTTCCTTAATTAATTAAAAACCTATTTGGAAACGGTTAATAACTTGTTAAAAAGTTGAGGTTAAATTCAACTATTAATTTTGTAGAACCCACAATTTTTATTTACTTTTCAACGATTTATTTAATCAATTTTTAGCAACATCTGCAAATTAAGATCTCTCTGTGTTTTGTTGTTCACTCCTTTTCCGTTGGAAACTTTTAATTTTCTATCATGTTACAAGTATAGGGCCACATGGGCCTTGTACTTTCAGGGGCGCCACTTGTGCTCCAACTTGACATTTAAGCCCCCGTTTCTCCCATTAATTTATAATACATTTTTTTTCTCTTTTTTTAACCATAAATTCTCAAATAAAATAATATTACATATATAAAAAAAAAATTCCTTCTTTTTCAACCACACATTTTCCAAAAAATATTATTTTGTAAATTATAATATCAAATAATGGGGCCAAACAGATTATTAACGTGAAAGTTTTAACAATTTCTTGACGTCAATACCTACATTATACTAAACATTCCATCTGTTGCGGCCAATTACCGTTGGAAGAAAGAGAACAAATAAGTCTATCAAACAAAGCAGGCCTTTTAATGGGCCTCATTTTGTGTTGGGCCTTCCAATGAATCTGATTTAACTTGAATTAGGCCCATTAATACATAGGGAAAATTACCCCAAACCTTACCTCTAAAGTTTCAATTTCAAAAATCAAATCTTAATAATTTTTCTTCAATAATTAGGTGATAATTCATCTTTTGAATATTAATAATAATATTATAAAATTACATTTAAACTACATATTCACCCCCGCCCGCCCCCATTCATCATAACCCAATTTCATTTCCAAACCCTAATCATCTTTCCTTATCTTTTCTCTCTATACTCTCTTCCTTCTCTCCCTTATCTCTATTACAAACCGTAGTTCGTGATACCATCGCCATCGCTAAAGCAACCAACGTCTCTACGAAACCGTAGCGCGACACTATGATTGACACGATGCCGCTGTGTAGCTGCGTATATATCTTCGCATGTCTTCACCGTTGTTCAACCTCCTCCAATAGCGACATATGCGGCGCTCTAGTGGTCTTCTCTGCTTTGTAAAGGCATCTGCGCCATTGTGTAGAGCGTCTATGCGGTGGTGGTGTCTTCGTCGCTAGTATGTGATCTCCGGTAGTTGTATAGACCTGCACCGTTGTGTAGAGAGTATGTGCGGTGGTGTCTTCTCCGCTGGTATGTGATCTCATGTGGTAGTACAGATGTGAGTGGTGGACTGTAGGTGGTGTATACAAAATCTGTATGTAGTATACAGATATGTTGATCTACATGTGGTGGTGGTGGCGGCGGCGGTGTAGTGGTGCCGAGTGGTGGTGGTGTTTGGGGTTTATTGGAAGTACTGGTGGTAGTTGTAGTGGTGGGTTATAGTGGTGGAGATGGTGAAGGGAATGGTGTTAGGTGCGGGAGATAAAATGATAATTTGTGACAATTTAATAGGTTAATTGTGATTCATTTGATAATTTGTGATCGAGGCATAACTTGTGACCCATTAATTCAATAATTTGTGACCTAGTATCAAGTTAATTTGATAATTTGTGATTAGTTAATTTCATAATTTGTGACGAAAAATCAAGTTATGACTCACTAATTTAATAATTTGTGATCGAGAAAGTACCCGCGACTAGTTAATTTGATAATTGGTGACTGACAAGAAGTTGCGACCAATTAATTCAAAAATTTGTGACGGATGATAAATAAGTCGTGACCTATAAAATGTGTGATTTGTGACCAAAAAAGTCGTGATCAATTAATTTAATAATTTGTGACCAATAAAAAAGTTTCAACCTAAAAAAATTGTGATTATTTGTAAATTCTCTATTGATTGTGACTTGATCACATACTGTCAAAATTAAGATTGACCTGGACACAGATAGGCACTCTGAAAACTAAATTTGGTCAAATTTAGTCACATTGAAGATAAATTTGATCATAGCTAGTCATAGATAACACAAGTTAATGACTTGGTTACACACAGTCGCAAATTAGACGATCACAAATAGTTACACTGAAGACAAATTTGATCACAATTAGTTACAGAGAGCTCAAGTTAGTGACTTGATTACATACAATCATACTAAAAACAAAATTGATTACAGTTAGTCACATATAATACATGTTTTGTTACAAAAAAATCTGGTCATAGGTAATGTTGACATCCGACCTGACAACTTAATCCAGATCGTTTATTTTATGCACTTGGCTCATGATAAATTGAGGTCGGATCTGCAATGTTGACTTGTATTTATGACTACCATGGTTTGATTAGACATAATGATTGTAGATTCTTTACACATTGACGAAATATTCAATCAATTAATGACATTCATAATGAATTACGTCAGCGCCTACCAATCATATGTTATAGATTTGTTCTCTAATCAATTCATTAATTATTGGGGACCCATTTAAGGTCGGCTTCATAATTTCCTGATAGAGGCTACCTCAGTAACCAATAGGGATATGCCATTGGCATACTTTCTCGGTTCGGTATTGTATGTTAATTTGACAACAATCAATCAGGGCTAAAGCCATTGGTTCAGATTCCCAGCTCGGCACTGTTGTTGACAATACATGAATGAGAAAGATTCAGGCCCATTTTTTCCTATAAAAAGTGGCCCAAGAACTTTATAAAAAAAGGGGGTCATTTGAGAAAAAAACTTGAAGTTCATAACCAATTATCAATAAAAATCTTTATTTTACATTAGAAGTTGGCTTGAATTTAGTTCTTACAATTTTTGACGTCAACAGTTTGGCGCTAGAAGGAGGTCCCTAACTTGTATAAGCAACCTTATCTCCGATAAAACTCATGATAAAAATACAGTCATGAATGATATTTCAGTATCAGGGAATCAATCCCATACTTATCCTAAACAAACCAATATTCCATAAAATATTGGGAGGGGACGAGGTCAAAACGAAGCTGACGACCCTCAAATGACCATCATGAGAAAAGATATTGAAAGGTTGACAAATGCAGTCAACAAATTGGAGTGAAACCAAACTTACGTTCTTCCATTCGATATTGAGGTCGAGTCCCCACATAGGGAACGAACCAGACGACCTCCCATCAGGATGGCTATCCATTTCTCTGAAGAAGAATCTTCCAAAAGTTGAACAAACAAAGTCAGGAGTTCTCCCACAAATACGGAGCCGGTTACTAGGAAAGCTAGCATTGTGTTCAATAGATTGGGATCTTAGCACTCATTAGCACCTCTGAGCAAATATACTAAACCCTATATGAAACGCCCGTTAGGACAGATAGGACCCAAAATGAGTATCTTAAAAAAATGCATTGCTGATTTGGAAGCCAAAAACATAGGAACCACGGAGGAATATCTCAATAAACGCCATTCCCCTTTTATCGAAGATATTCTTGCTAAACTTTTGCATGAAAAATTGAAAATGCCATAGTTGACTAGGTACTAAGGGGAATGAGATCTCCTTAGTCACCTAGACAAGTACACTTCCTGAATGGAGCTACAAGAAGTAGGTGATACTATTATCTGTCGTGCATTTCCACTAATGTTGGGAGATAAAGCTCAAATATGGTTCAGGAGGTTACATTAGAGGTCAATAAAAAATTGGAGCAACCTCGCCACGATGTTTTTTACTCAGTTCATGGGTTCCGAAACAAGAACCACGCCCAAAGAGCGTCTGTTGAGCATTAAGCAAGGGAAGAGTGAATCGCTTAAAAGTTACCTCAATAGAATCAATAAACAATCTATGGAAGTTGAAAAAATCTCTGACGACGCTGCACTCATGGCAGTTCTTTCTGGGCTAAGTCCTAGAATGAGGTTTTGGTGGTATATGCATGAAGATGGACCTCAAACACATCACGAATTCCTTAATTGAGCGAAAAAACATATCAGTGCGGAGGAAGCAACTTCAGACCATGAGGAAACTAAGGTAAATCCACAACCCCCACACTCAACAAAGGAGAAAAAGGTGGATAAGGGATTCAACCATAAAAAGAAAAAGGATTGGGGAGACAAAGATCGTCCTAGGCCTTATCCGAATAGATTCCATGAATATCACCCATTAAATGCAACCTTAGAAGAGGTCTTCTTGCAAACAGGGGAAAAATAAGCATTCCGCAGACCTCCACCTCAGAAAAAGGACCCTACAGGAAAAAACCAAGGAAAGTACTATGATATCACAGTCGACATGACACAATATAAATGATTACAGAAACCTCAAGAAAGAGGCGAAATCTTTAATTAGACGAGGTCATCTGCAAGAGCTTGTGGCTAAACCCAAAGAGACGAACTAAGCTTGCAATCAACAACCTTACTGGCCAGGGACGGTTCAACGAGGTCAGCCAACTCTTCAAGCTTGGGATCTCTCATCCCGATCTGAGATCAGAATGTTAATAGGTGGTAATAATGCATCGACGGATCCAAAAGGGTAAGGTGGAGACAAGCGTGAGATGCACACATTTGCCAGAATTACGATGTAGGACGATCATAGTCTGACACTGACATTGTTCCATACTCAGAATGGTTAGGATTTTCCAAAGAAGATTCTTATGGAATTTTATAGGACCAAAGTGATGCACTGGTAAGAACCATGTCTGTTGTTGGTATACAAATGCATCAA